CGGGGGGTGCGGCGCGAGCCCGGAGCGCGCGCGCGTGCCGCGACCGGAGGATGGATGGATGGAGCGAGCGAGAACGCGAGCGTGCGCGCGCGCGCCCCTCTCCCCCTCCCTCCGCGCGGGCGCGAGGCCAAGCGCGAGCGCGCTCCAACCTCCTCCTCTTCCTCCTCCCGCCCCTCTTCAACACCCCGCCCCCGCCCTCCCTTCCTCTTCCTTCTTTCGCTTTCGCGCGCCCAGCGACTGCTCGCGCCTGCTAGAAGGGCCCGAGCGCGTGCATCTGCCCCGCGGCCGCAGCTCGGCAGCATTTGCTCCAGGGGGCGGGGACCGGGCGGGGAGGAGGGGCGCCACGCCGCCGTCCAAAGTACCGGCGGACGGGGACGGGGGCGGGGAGATGGGCGGGGCCTTCGGGAGCAACCTCGGCCAATCGCCGTCTCGCCTCGGTCCGGCCGGCCCAATAGGATAGCGGTGGGTGGAGCGACGTTCAAGGTGAGGTGCGCGGTGCGCTGGGGGCGGAGACGTTGTGCCGTCCCGGCCGGCTCCGGGGCGGGGGCAGCGGGTGGCGTCGAAAGAGAGCGCCGGCTCCCAGCCGAGCCTGGGACGCCTTCCGGCCCAGGATCCCCCGCCCTTCCCTCGGGGCTCCCAGCTCTTCCCCCCTCCCGCCCCCGGGCGCCCCCACGCCGGCATTTACCCCGTAGCGTGCAGCCACTTCTCTGAAGAGGCCGGAGTTGAAGTGGGGCTCTGTGAGCACCTCAGGGCAGAAAACCTATGGAGCCAAAGGGGCTCGTCCGAGCCTCCGTTCCCCTGTTTCTGGGCGGGTCTCAGCCCACTCCAGGCCTGCGAGCCAACGAACGCCCGAGATGAGGGTCCTCCGCTGAGGGCGGAGGCCGAGCTGTGCCCTTCTGAGCGGAGCGCCCTCCCGGCCCTCAGCCTAATTTAGATCCCACACCTGCTCGGCTTTCCTGCTTCCGGAACCCACGCTGGACCCCCCACCTCTCGGACAGCCTGCCTGGCGCTAGCCAGACCCTGCCCCCGACCCCGCGCTACTGCCCCGGGTGTGCCCGGATCCGCGCGCTCTCAGTCCCCCTTTACCTTCTGAAGGGAAAGGCCTTTCCTAGACGCAACCGATGCCCAGACTGGCGCTTCTGTCTCGGTTATTCTCTGGGTCTGGAGTGTTGGAACGGGGGTCTGACAGCCCTCTCCCCCTTAGAAGAGGGGATTAAACGAGGAAAGTCCTAAATCATACACTTGGGGACCATCATTGGCTGTTTGGTCTTCGGCAAACATGTATTGAGGCAATAGTCCTAAGTGGTTAAGACCAGATTTGAATTAAACCTATGGACCTGGCAAATAAACTTGGGCAAATGAGCTCTCTGTTGCCTCAGTTTACTCTGTTGTCACCGGGTATAATGATAGTACCTATCATTAGGTTGTTGTGAGCACTGACAAGTCAGTGCATGTGAAATTCTTAGCTCACTGTAAGTGGTTTATAAATTTTAGCTGCTATTCTTAATGTGCTCTAAGAATCTTACAGTGCCCTGTGCTGGGATACAAAGATGAAATAAGACAATTGTGCTTCCTCAAGAAGTTTACAATTTGTCGGGTAGACAGAACTGTAGGAAAATAATTGCCAAACACTGATAAAAACAAGAGAGAGGGTACCTGGGTGGCTCAGTCAGGTAAGCGTCTGACTTCAGCTCAGGTCACGATCCTGGGGTCCTGGGATTGAGCCCTGTAGGGCCCCTGCTCAGTGGAGAGTCTGCTTCTCCTTCTCCCTCTGCCCCTCCCCCTCTCCGGCTCTCTCTCTTTCAAATAAATAAATAAAATCTTAAACAAACAAACAAAAAAAAAACAAGAGAGAGATGCACAGGGGATGGGGTTGCCAGGAGGACAGTTAAAATTATGTAAGAGAGTTGGTCAGTAACGGCTTCTTATAGTGGGAGATGAACTAGGTCAAGGCAGGCCAGGAAGGCACTAGACATCCCAAAGAGCAAGCTTCAGGAGTATGGTTCGGTTTGGGGCCTGGCTGGAGCATAGGAATGGGTGGGGAAGCAGCAGGAGGTGAGCAGGTCAGACCATACAGGACTAAAGGTGTGCTGAGTAATATGGGCTTTAGCCCTATAGGCCATGAGGAGTCCTCAAGGGGAACCATTTGATCAGACTTGAATTTTAAGTAGATCATTCTGGCATGCTGAGTCTGTAGATTGTATTTATTTATTCATTCACTCATTTATTCGGGGGGAGAGAGGGAACACGAACAGGGGTTGCAGCAGAGGGAGAGGGAGAAGCAGGCTTACTGCTGAGCAGGGAGCCCGATGCAGGGCTCGGTCCCAGGACCCTGGGATCATGACCTGAGCCGAAGGCAGACGCTTAATCAACTGAGGCACCCAGGTGCCCCGAGTAGGTAGATTTTTGTTATCGATTGAGGTGTATGAGGTAAAGGACAAGCCCTGAAAACACCTTTAACCAAGATGGGGAATTCTGAGGAGGAGATAAGAGGATATAAGGAGAAGGACAAGTTCAGTTTGGTATATGTTGTAGGTACTGTGGGACCAGCTGGTGGAGACTCTCTGAAGATCACTGAAGTGAGGCCAGGCCTTCAGGAACCTCCAAAATGTGAATCAGGAATTCTCAACTCCGACGATGATGATCTGTTTCTCAGTCTCTAAATATGCCCAGTATATCTGCCCTGAGGAATTTACACATGCCCAGGAAGACTTCCTGTCTCCTCTCTGTTTACCTAAATCCTTCCTCACTTTCCCACCCGTGGCCATCCTCACACCAAACTCCTTTACAAGTGGATCATTTCTATTCATCCAGCCCTTGGCCTGGGCTGCTCAGTGGTGGTGACCTCTTTGGGAACGTGCCCGGTCTCCACAGTTAGCATCAGTCAGTCAATAAACACTAAGGACTGCGCTGGTCTGGGCTCTGGGCGAGGCCCTGGGGTGTAAGCAGTGAGCCAGAGAGACACACAGACTTTGTCCTAGTGGAATTTACACCCCAGCAAAGCCTGATGTGGATGAAACAAGACTGAGTGTGAAGGCATCCGGGCTGCTGAAGAAACAAATGGCATGATTTTTTTGTCAAGGGGTCAGAGAAGATCCCCCCCACCCGGAAGAAGTGATCTTTTAAGGGGAGCCCTGAATTAACTAGACAGTGAGGTGAAGAGGAACATTCGAGGCAGAGGGAATGGTGATGTGTACAGGCAGAATGTGGCCCTGGGAGAGAGAGTGGCATGTTTTGAGACCTGGACGGCTAATATAGCTGAGTTGGTACAGAGGCCAGCAGGGGCAACGGATCCCCCAGGACCTTG